CCCCAAAACCCCAAAACCCCAAAACCCCACATTCTTTCACTACATTGAAATCCTGAGAAATTTATTTAAACTTCGAGTTCATATTCCTAAAATTTCTAAAATCAACCTCCATCTTTCTGAGGTATTGTTTACTAAGTTTCTCAGGAGCTTTGGAGATATCTTCAATGTAATCCAAGAACTTGTCACCGTACATATCATATCTAGATTCTAAGCTTGTGGCATTCTTTTTGTCCTTCCTATCAAGATTTCTGCCTAAGAACTTCTTTTCGAACACTTTAGTGTACTTCTCAATGCTCTAAAGAATAAGCTTGGTACTATAACCTTCGATGAGAGTAGATGCTTCATTTTGTGGTCTGATTGGACTTTATCAAGGAAGGCCAGCATTTCGAGGGACTCTTCCTTTGAGGGGTTTTTGAGGCTATTTTATATAATCCTTGATATCTACATGGTTATAGTTGAACAAGCTTACAGCTACTCTTCTTCTTTGACATTGAAGATTCTCTCCTGAATTTCAGCAAATCCCTGTACAGTAATACGGTTTGCTTACATTGATTTCTGGAGGTTCTCCAGAGTCATATCCTTTGGCTCCAAGAAAGCATCAGAAGGAGTCGGAGGTCTATGAGAAGTCATGAAAAGCCTACTTACTGCTTTATCTTCCTCTTATTACCTTCAGGAGTAACTTCATTTGAATCTAAAGAGATTAGAGGAGTACTTTACTTTTTCTACTCATTATTTTATTAAAGGTGGATTCTTTAATCGTGAATGATTCTCTAAATTTCTAGAAGATATTACCAACCACGTACTTTGATAGGTCTCGCTGTAGTTCCTCCACTTCCTAGTTTGGAAAACTTCATCCTTGATGGGCTTTTAAGCATAGGAGAACCTCCAAAATTAATTGTAGACAGCGACTTTAAAATTGGAGAGTTATTGTCAGACTTTGTTGTAATATTTCTGAGACTCTTCCTATTTTTAATATTACTCCCTTGATTTAATGACTTGAGATCCTGGTTAAGAACCTTGATAATCGGAAGTTCCTCTTCAGTTTCTGTAGTGAGGGAGAAGTCTGAAGAGCTATCACTTTCTTTCTTCTTTTCATCATTTTTGTTCAAGAGCTTTCTAGCCAAGTACCTATGAAATAAGCTCTGGAAGGATACATTTTTCTGATTCTGATCTGCTTCTCGTACTCCTCTTTTTGTCCTGCATTGAAGTGCATGCGGAGCTTACGGGCAATATCTTTGGCAAGTTGTTCAAGGTACTCTCTATCTTCGTTGAACAAATTATTTGAGAAATTATAATTTGATTGGCATGATTTCACCAGGTTTACAACAACCTGTTCGTTCTTATTCATTAATCTTTGCATTTTAATGTTCTTGAGATACTAGAAGTCAGGTGAGGGAGCTAACCTGATCGAATTCCTCTGGCTCCATGAACTTTTTGCCATCTTTTGTGCAGAATTTAGTCAAATTCTGGTGATCTTTTTCAACTTGTTCCTTTGGATCCTGGAGGTTTTGAAATATCAATTGAGTCTTGTAGTGCTTAAGAAACAAAGTCTATTGAGTAAATTTTAAATTTTACCTTGAATAATTCAATTTTCTCTTTTGGGATATTAACCCCACATTCTACAAGAGAAATAAAATAGTCTTCGTGCAGCCGTTTTATTTTTTCTTGCTGGATAGCTTGGCTCATTTCATTCTTCTTCTGTCGTAAATTTAGAGCTATTGAGGCATGCTCTTTTGTCTCAGATTGTTTTAGATCACCTAACTCTAGAACAGAGCCACTTCTTCCTCTCTTGTTTAACGGGAGGAGTTCAGGCATGAACTTCCTATTAGGATGCTTCACTCTAAAAATGATCTCCAAATAAATACGTTTCTAAGATCTGGCCCTTCATTCTTTCAGCAGTGGTAAGGATATCAGAAGTAAGGGTTGGGCAATTTAAGTTACTTAACCTATTCTTCCACTTCGATAAATTCCTCGTAAGGTTGCTTTCATCTTTACTAATCCGGTTATAAACTCTATTGTCGGGATTTCAGATCTTTAAGCTTTAGACTATTCTTACTCTTTCGCTGACTCTAAACATCCGATTAGACACTGTCTTCAAAGTCCTTACTCATGTAAAACCACTCTTTGGGGTTTGGCTCCTTCCTTTGTCACTATAGGCCGGTGACTTCTGTCTCTAAAGGGTGGCTTACAGATCTCTTTTGATTTATCAGACATTTTATTTCTATATTAATATTTGGGAGTGGGGTTTTGGGGTTTTGGGGTTTTGGGGTTTTGGGG